GAGGTTTAGTCCGATGCTCATATATATAGTGTGTGTGTGTGTGTAAGCATGCGCAGAAATTATGCCTATGTATGCATGCATGCTTATCAGCATGTCTGCAGGCATGCATGCATGTATGAAACAAGTAATTATGTCTGCATGTATGTATGCAGGCCGGTATATAATGCATGTGCATATGCATGCATGCATGCATGCATGCATGCATGCATGCATTACATGTATATACATGTAGACACATGTATGCAATTGCATACATTTATGTGCAGGTATGTATGCGCTTTTGTTCGGAACTTTGTGGCGCGATGCAAACTTGGCTTCCAGCCTGCGCAACTTCAGAATCCTGGAGAAGCTTGGGCAGGTAGTGCAAGCACTTCCTTAGCTTAAGGAGCTGTGCACGAAGACAGTCAGGGCTGGGTGGACAAACCACTGCAGCTCAATGGAAAGCACAGCCTGCCAGATCGACACGATGTCGAATCTCAATGCTACAGCCCTTGGCACCTCGAGTTCTGTGGCTCACCTCACCGTGGCCTGAACTTCTGGGATGAGGTCGAAGACTTCACCGCATGGCTGAGTTCTTCACGGCCCTGCTTCTCCCGAAGCCCCGAAACCGAAACACTGCGAGCAAAGTGGCACCGTAAAGACGGGGTTGCAGTTGAACCACGAAAATATCCAGTCCTTCTTGCAGTTTAGGAAATCACCTCAGGCATCAGATGCAGCAGATCAAGGAAATCACCTTCTCTGCTCTTAGGTTCTGGGGCTGGTGAGAGCCGGTTCGCAAAATCCTGCATGGCTCCATGTTTCACCTGAAAGCCTGAAAGCATGTCAATCTTTTCTGTCTACCTGAACTCATTCCTGCCGAGTGGCCATCCCTCGCATCGGGGCCCTTCTCCATGGATCCCGGGTGCTGAATGACGAGACAACCAACCTGCGTCGTCTTTCGTGGTTTTGCGATGTCCTGTTTTTGTCCGGCATTTTGGTCCTTGCGTTCGCGTTTGTCCATGCGCTCATGCTAGGAGGGTTGGAGCTTGCATGTGTAGGCAGATCGCAGCATGTTGGAAAACTGACATTTGTCTTAGCAGTACATCTGCATAACGCCTATGAACATCCGCAATCTCCTCATCGCCAGCTGCTCCTTCCACCAATACATCTGCCGTGCCGGAATGTGGTCGTTGCTGTGGTTGGCGCTACTGAGGTTGACGCTGGTTGTACTCTTGCGTTTGACACCGCTCTTGTGACTGTGGATGCTACTGGGATGATCAGGTATCAATATCGTCGTCATGATTTAGTGCCATCGCCATAACCATCCTCCTCCTCCGCCCCCTCCTCATCATCACTCTCGCCATTTTCAGTGATCTTACTTCATCGGCTCTTACTGTGGTGCAAAATGAAGCGGCTGGCGATGCACATGGCTTCAGATTTGATAAAGTGCTCCTCGACGCCCACAGCACGCTGTTGCTGCGAGTAGTGCCGCTGCCGCTACTTGTACTTCCGCACGTTTACTTCCAGCACTTCGATAGCCGAAGGAAAGCGATTGGCGCCTTGCAAATCCGTGGTAGTAGTGGTAGTGGTAGTGATGGTAGTAGCAGTAGTAGTAGTAGTAGTAGTAACGGTAGTAGTAGTAGTAGTAGTAGTAGTAGTAGTAGCAGCAGCAGTAGCAGTAGTAGCAGTAGCAGAAGCAGCAGCAGGAGCAGGAGCAGGAGCAGGAGCAGAAGTAGTCGCAGTAGCAGTACAGCAGGTAGTGTACCGCACAGCTGCGTTGCTGCTTCCACAAGCACGACAACGACGACGACTGAAGCTGCAAATGTCTTCCACTGTCCAACTGTCGTGTGCCGCGGGCTTGGGCTCCGGCCCAAAGAAAGCAACCAGCAGCCTGAATGGAAACCGGGGATCACTTTGCATTTGCTGGACATGCTCGTACGCTGTCATCAAACTGCTTCTGCATCTAGCATGCTGCATGTCAGATTTCTGTGAGAACTAGACCGTCAATCTGCCACGTGCCACATACAGCTTTTCCGCCAGACACTACGAGTAAGGTCTGCACATAAGTGGCGAAGAGAATCGCCCACTTCTGCCACAGCGGAGCGCCCTTCAGCACAGCACCTCTGCCAACACCAAATCACAAGCCAAGCTCGTATGACAACTGTAGAAGCATCGATGTCGAGACATCGAGCCGGGTTCGGCTTTGGCAACTCCCCAATCCACTTCGAGTGATCAAAGTACCTACGCACGCTCTGTACGCTCTGGAAAAGCCTCTTGTCATCCCTGTTTCCGAACGCAACAATTCTAAACCATGTACCTGAAAAATCGAGGCAGCAGCCTGTTTGCAGTTGGACTAAACTCGGACTGTGACAGTCCCTACTTCATGCAAGCAGACAGTAGGTCACTCTTATGTTCATTCACCGCACCTTCGTTGCAAGAAAGTGTGATCTCCGGCCTGAACGAAACTCCCAGGCCACCGCACAAGTGGCGACGGTTGAGAGCGCCGCTCCCCAGACGATCCACCTTGGGCAAAGGCGGGTGTAAGTAAAGATAAAAAGCAACTACGAATCCAACAGCAACCAAAAAGACGTGCACGAGAACAGTGAGCCAAGGTCGAAGCCGGCGTCCCAAGCACGAACCTGCTGAGCATCCGACACATTCCAGTCCAACTTGTGGGTGCTGTAGAAGCCAACCTGGCCGAAGCTCCGGGGAGCTGCACAAGACTTGCAGAGACGCTTGACTCAAGCTGCAAACATGCTAGGACAGCCGATTGTACCCGGAGGTGCATGAAGCGGCTGTAGCCGAAGAAGAACACCGCCCAGGCTACAAGACCAGCACCTGCAGAGCTAGGGCCTGCTGCAAACTTAGGCTTGTCATATCGGGTCGTTATGTTTTTTTGTGAGGAGCTTTTTGGGATTTTGGGCGTGGGGCCCTTTGCCCCGATTCATGTCTCTGGCGTGGCAGTCGAGACAAGAGTTGAAGTGGAAGAAAACTGAGGCGAGGACTCTCCGTCCAGCCTGACAGAGCACAGTCAATGCGCCCATCTGCCAAAGGTTCACGGCTTCCAACGGCTCTTCTGAGCTCGTGGCTGTTCATTGACACGAAGAAGAACGTGAAGAAGACCCTTGAAAACAGGTCGACAGTACGACGTTGCAACAGTCTGTGCAAGCCTTCTTCCAGCTAAGCACCGTGCAACAAGGGGTTCAAGATCAAGTTGCTGTAGTCCCAGGGCAAGCCGATCCTCATGGACGCTGGAGATGTTCCGATGCTACGAAACATGATCGCAAACTGTGAGTTCAGAGATGTTAGCTGGAACGACTCGACTATGCCAAAAACGTCGACTGTGACAAAGCATTCACGTTCCGGTTTTGGCCGCTGTGCTGGTGGTGGTGATGTTCTTCGTGCTTTTTGCTGTCACCTCGCATTGCCTCGCATGTTCACATTCTGATCAAGTGTCTGTCCAGCACGAAAGCCCATCTCGGCACTTCTCCTGTCGTACCTTGGATACGGCCAGTAGTGCATCTGATCTCACAGACTGCAGGTCGGTTCAATCCCTCCTCCTTGTTAGTGTCGAACGCATGCTAGGCCCTGCCTCATCTGAGCCTCGCGGACGCGAGCGGACAATGTAGCAACGATGGTTTCGGGCGATGGCTTCAACATGCTGCAACCACAGTCGTGGCATGGAGGTTGGGTTCAGAAAACAGAGCAGCATCCCGCATCCTCCACCGTCGGATAACTGACATGAATCCTAGCATCGGCTAGGTGAAGGGTCTGAACACCTTTGAGTTTGCTCTTTCTTCCTAATTCTTCCCAAGAGATAGCCAACAAGCGTATGAATGCAAAGGGCTGCCTTATGTTACCTCCCTGCTCGAAGATCAATACCTGATTGCCTCTCCGCCCAAAATCCAAAAGCACGAAAGCATCTGCGACACGGCATGTGTCCAAGTAGCTCCTTCAAGTTGTCTGGCGCCCATGGCAAGAGCAACTGCGCAGGCGTAGAGTCACTACGAGCAGAGTGATAAACTCTCGCCGATCGCCAAACTGCCCCGCAGCCTTCAAGAGCTTCAACAGCGGGTCCGGCAGACATTTCCAGACGTAGATGATCTGCAGACATCTTGCCAAGCCGCAAACCCCGCAGACACACACACACACACACTTGATTGTCTCTGGAGGACAAAGCACGGTTGCCTTGGCGACCAATGTGACCTGCCGAGAAAGCAGCGAGAAACACCCATTGCCAACGGCTTCTCTGAAGCGATGCTGCAGTCTTCTGTGGCCTGCACATACTGCACGATGCATCCCGTGAGGTAGCCCATCCTAGTGGGAGAAGGCACATCGCTTCTCTAGCCGCTAGCCTGGCTTGGCGCAAGTTTGACATGATTCTGAATGGCTGACCAAGGCTCAGAGGGCTGACGAAAAACTGGCCAGGAATCAGCATCAAATACCTGGGGATTCCGGTTGATTCAAGACGGAGGCATGGATTTTCAGATCTTATCCCGTTACTGTTGTCGCGCCGCTACCCTTATTCTCTGCACCCCCTCGTTGTGCTGTCTACCCAAGAGTTCGCATCGAGGGCAAGGCAACAACCTGTGACAAGCTGCAGCTTGTATCCGATCTCCGACTCCAGACCCACAGCCACACTCCTTGGACCGAGGCATTGCCAGAGCAGTACCCGAACTAAATATCCTCCAACAAGAACTGAGTTGTGCAAGTCGAAGGCTCGACAGGGTGCTGAGAAACGCCGACACGCCAGCTTGGGCCACTTCCTGCCGGCAAGGATTGCCGAGTTCCGAAGCCAACCCATGGACCCCTTTAGCTCTGCAACCCAGATATGCACGTTGCAAGCCGCCACGAAGTTCCATACACCACTGATTGCTACAGGGGGCTTTAACGATGCGCGAGACTGATACTAGCTGGTAGGTCGTAAGATCTCCCGACTGGTTCAGACAACCTGGTGGAGGTCAGGCTTAACAGACTTTGGATTTACGGGAGCTGATGTGACTGAAATCAAGGCCCAGCCCAGTCCGGATCCGTCGCTTGCCTGCATGGGATGCAGAGCAAGGCAGATTACCGAGGTGCGCTGACCTAGCCTGCATCTTGCTGTAGGCACTAAGCACACACTCAGATGCCATGTTTGGTGTTAGACGCTAAAAAACTTCCTGGAGTCTTCCTCACCTTCGGAGCTCCTGGACCTGGAGCAGCGACCAAATGCACTGTGGCCTGCCCCCTCTTTGTTGCTTTGTTCATAGCCGAGCTGCACGGCGTAGATGGTGAGCGCCAAATTAAACATGGTGTTGCCTGAGATTCAGGACTTGAGTTTTGCTTCCGCTTCACTTCCCAGAGACATCCCGGCAGCATTCAATATGCTTTAGCCACGGCGCAGAGCGTGATGAAGAAGTTCACATAGAACAACCAGATATCAGCCCGATCCTGCCCACAAGCTCTGTCTTTCCATGCTGGACAGACCGGCTTAGTTCCACTGGGTTCATAGGCTTCGCTTGCGTCAGGGTTGGACTCGGGCGTGAACGAAAGCACAGGCTCCACCGTCAACGAAGGGCTGGGCTCATGTTGCGGATGATACTCCACCAACCTAGCATGAAGCGCCTTGCGGTGGTAGCCAACCCCATAGGCAGAACCGTAGATTTGACCTTGGGTGCCGCTCCAATCAAGAGAGGAAAGCTCGCGCTTGCAAGGCTACTCGGCACGCACAACAGGCGCAGATAGATGCAGAGAAGCCTGGCATGGGATGCAATGCTCACATATATATATATATATATATGTATATATATATATATGTATATATATATATATATGTGCATATGTATATATATATATATATGTTATAGTAATGATCAGAAAAACATTATTGATAATGTTGTCTACACGAGATCCGGCTCCAGAATCCCATTGTTGTCCAATCAGGACGGAGATCTTTTGGGGTTCTCTGACTCGGAGAGCCTCTCCCTCAGGCAAGAGGCCGCCCAACTGCCCGTTGATGATGGCCATGATGATGCCATTCAGCATCCTGGGACTCGGGAGCGCTGGGAGAAAGCGAGGGGTAGGCGGCTGCAAGGGACAGGGACTCAACACTTTTTAAAGAGAACATCTCATACGTACGCCTATAGCTTTAAACAGGTATCGATGGTATCGTATGGTATGACATGATAGGGTAAATTATTTGTGTATGTGCATGTGTGTGTAATTATGTTTGCATGTACGTGAGTGTGTGTGTATATATATATATACATGTATGTGTGTATATGTGTATAAAGACATTGCATACATGCAGACATACCAACATCATATGTATATGTAAAGAAAACTCATTGGTATTGCATTGGCCATCGTGGATTCCGAATGTTGAAATCAGCGTGGTGTCGTGATGGGCCCACCAGCGCTGCTGCCGGCTGCCAAATATGGCATGAGCACAAACCTCAGTAGTCACGTCTGCATTCCCAATCTATGAGCGCTTCAACTGCGCTCCACAAAGCCTTAACTACATCCGGGATCGCAGATCGTCACTCTGTGTTTGAGCTCTGAGGGTCTTCACGGCCCAGCATGTCAGACGATTCCGAAAGAGCAAACACTGCAACGCGAGTTCGAGACTCCTCTCGTCCAAAACCCAACCCGGAGGTGTTTGAGCTCATTCCCAAAAGCTTTGGCAGACTCCAGCAGCTTCTTTCCTGCCTGTCTTTCTCTCCCTTCTGCGCCTTGAACCCACAGCCTCCAGGGTTCAAAACCTTCACCAGCCTTGACAGAACCAGGCGCCACAAGCTTGAGAAGTACTTTGCTGTTTCACCTTTGAGCTTCCGAAGTCCGATGGCTCTTTGGGTGGCCTGTCCGAAGCAACAGTTCCTACCCTAAACCAGCGAGAGGCCCTCTGTTGCCAAGCCACCTGTTGAAGCCAAAAACCAAGACGTTGATGCCCACGAACATGAGCAACACCTGCCCGTCTGGCGACTGCGCTCTTCAGACTTTGAGGGTCTCAGGTGCAAAGTTGACGGTATGCTCAGGGAGAAGGGGTAGCTGCGAGCTCACAGCGCAAAGCCGCTCTGCCAAAATATCGCAGTTCCTGATTTTTCTTATGCTGTCGGGAAAGTTTCTGCAGGCTTCGCCGGCGACCTGTGCTCGAACACTCCTGCGTAGACATCATCACAAGAGGCAGCAGGCTTGGCAGGCTTTGCTTGACTCCCGCCTTGCCCAGCGCTATCCTCAGGAACAGAAATGAAGCGTCACAAGAGAACGGTCCCGAGTATGGCCGTGGAAGACCTTGCCTAGATGCTATGCGAGTAATGCACAGGTTCAGCAACAACAAGCAGTCAAAGCAGTGCCTGGCTAGGAAGTCTCTTCGACGGTTGGACAGATGTCTTTCAGCCCGCGGTCCATTCGTTGAGCCGGATCGTCCCCTCGGAGACTGCCAGATTCTCCCAAAAGACATCAGGTGGCTCGGAATTCACCACGGACACCTGCCAGGCATCTCTATCTCTTACAGGCTAGTTCAAGGGCGGGGTTTCCCGTACCACCCCACGGCAATGGCTTAACAGTTGAAGCCCTGTCTAGCAGCCTCGCATGGGTGCGAGGGAGAAGTCATCGGATGCTTTAGGAACACTTTCTGTTTTCATGCACAGCCAAAGATGGCGCTTCCAGCAGCAGAGTACGCAGCCTGCACAGAATCAAGAAGACTCAGTGGACTTTCACCACGCACCGAGCCTCTATCTTCTGCGACTCGTACATGAAGATCGAATCTTTGGCTGCGTAAGTGCTCATGATAGCATCCTTCAGCGATCTTCAGCGACAATCCACTGTCAGCGATGCAATCATAGTGAACAAGCTCGGATGCCAAAGACAACTCCAAGCCTGAGCCTTGCAAGCGTTTTCAGATGCTGTAGCGGCTCTGAACACATGCAGAGCAGTCACAACGCCCCAATTTCTCTTGCTGCTCTGCTGCAGTGCTGGCGCATGCTGCTGTTGCGACCTTACACTTGACCTCCAGGTCTTCTCGTAGATGTCACTATTCATGGCACAGATGCGAAGGGACACCAGATCTGACAACTCGTCGTGTCTTCAACATCTAAGAAGCTCCAAATCATGTCTTTTCACGGTACACAGTACGGACGTTCGCCTTACACAGAAATCGCCAGAGTCGTGTCCGGAAGCTACTCATTTTGCACCCGCTCCTTGCCGCTGGACTTCGTCAGGATCAAGAACGCCTGACCTTGTGACCGCCAACATCGCCAGTTCCCGGCAGCTGGTATCAGTCTACCGAAAATAACGCAGACGGATGTTCACGAAGTCTAGACTGAGCTCTACAGCCTGCGGACGACATCGAACGCTTTCGCACGAAATCGCACGCACGTCTCACTCCGACCTTTACGAAGTCTTGGCCAGAAGCATGCCAGTCTGTAGCCGAGGGCAAGGACGCTGGCACTCGCAGTGCAAATCCGACCTTTCCCATGAGGCAGTGGCCAGTGCCCTTGAGCTTTTTCTCTCCGTCGAACCACGCAAGTGCCTGCACCGGTGTGTTCTGCAGTGGCCCATGACGCTCTGAAGTGATGGTTCCTGCATTGCTAAACATTGACAGCCGACAGCGATGCTACTGGTCGTCACCTTCAGGGCCGGGAAATGTGGTACGGGGCCAAGTGCGGCGAACCCCCGACCATTTCAAGGCGCCCTGAGTAGAGCGCTCCCGCGGAACCCCCGGAGTCGGGAGTGGGGCTGTAGAAGTACAGTAGTACGGAAGTACTAGAGTAGTAGTACAGTAGTGCGTAGTACCAGTAGTACAGTTGCAGTACAGTCGTAGCAGGATGACGTGGAGCTGTGTAAGGTGGCTGAGGCGGCCTCGAAATCTCGAAACCAAACCCCGATCACTGCAAGATAACTACCAACTCAAAAAACGCGATTTCGAACACTCTGTCATTTTCCTTCATCCTACACTCCCCCACACAATCCACCAAGCCTGAGGCCTAAACTAATGTGTACAGTAGTAGTACAGGGAAGTACCGCAGGAGAGTGTAGGGGCAACTACATCTGTTTGGGGGGGTGGGGGTTTGTTTAGGGGGCATTCAAAATCAAGCCTCTGGCCTCCTCTTGATATCTATCATGTAGTCAGTAAGACTGACCAGTAGCAGAAAAGAATACGCAAACCATCAAAGTCCGCCGGGCGAAGATAAACGCATTGTGGAGTATCATAGAGGACCGTCCACAAGCCTGTCAAATCCCGAATAAGGCACCGGATAAACGCATGAGACAGGGTCACCTACATTAACCCAGTGACACATTGATGAAGTACCGGGAGCCCTGCCCTGCGATGCTGAGTTGCTCCCACTCGGAGTGTCACCGGGATTCTGGGAATTCCGGATTCTCTGCAATACAATGCTGTTGCCCGGCTTCCTCCGGCTCTGCTGGCCTTGCTGCGATCTTCGGAGACCTGCTTCTTGAGCTTCTCAAGAGTCTCCTCACCAAAACAACAGCCTAAGGGCAACTGCCTGCACCGCAGGCCAAGAGCATTGTCTCATGGATGTGGGCGCCTTCATGGCATCCAAATGGTCGTCTTCCCCGAGCATGCCGCCCTTGACTTTCAGCTCGATCTCCGTTGCGCTACAGAACCTTTGCCAAATCGCGGGAACAGTCTAGCATACTGTAGGTCTCCATACAGGCCAATGCTTTCCATGCCGGCAACTACAATCCCAGTGAGTTCTGCTGCTTGATTCTTCGTTATCCTCACATCTTGAGCACTGGTGGTCGTTTCTTCGGCTACAGCCTTGGGACGGGTCACTCCTTAGTAAGGCTTGCTGCCGTCAGTCTGTTTGCTGTCGGCGAGAAGTCGCTTGGGCTGGATTCTACAGCAGTGACCTACTGCATCAGGTCTCAGGTGCATCGAGATCGGTGAGACCCGAAGCCCGAAGCATTGCGCCGTGAAATGCGCTCAATGTGAATGCAACTACGACACGATCTCCTGCCCCTCAAAGTCCCACTTTACCGCCGCACCTCTCGAGCATGTCATAGACGTCCTTTTTCTGCTGCTGATCGCCTTGACAGGGCCGGGGTTCCTCTCTGTCGGAACTCAGTCGAATGAGTTTTGGAACCGTCAGATCGGCAGATCGGGAGTGGGCGGAGTAGGTTGAAGTTGCAGCGAGGCAGAGCTGTAATGGAAGACGCAAGAAAGCTCACCTTAATGCGTCCGCCCAGCCTCCGAAGTCGTAGCAAATGCCTTGCACAGACACTGGCAGATTCTCACTGTGAGGCCTTCGGCCCCGCAGCTTTTGATCTTGATCGAGAAGGAGCAGCTTTGAACATCTGGATTCTGGCCGCGAACAACACACTGCCTCGACATCCGCCCTCTAACGGTGTATTTGTCAGCGCCAAAAATCGGCATAACCGAAATGTTTGAATGCGGGCCGGGGCATTGGGGCATTGGGGCATTGGGGTTGGGGCGGCTTCCCCGAGATCGCCAAGTTGCTCACGCCTTCGACCTGGCTCTCGATCTTGCTCCTCGGGGACTCTGCGACATAAAAGCCGCCAGCGGGGCGTGGCACTGCTAAGAGCCTCCTGAGAACAATGACTACGTCGACTACGTAGTGCAAGATTCCACCACCACCATCTCTGTGGACTCTCACAGGACAGGAGACATTAGCATTTAGACCCCCCGAAAACGTTGCTTGCCAAGCAGCTGTTTGAGCATTTTCTCTGCCCACCTCTTCAACTCCACCTGCGAGATGCTGACGCTGGCGGATGCTACTTTCCCCTTCTTTCTAGGCAGCTCCCATTGAATCGTTTGTAGCCATGAGAGCTCCTACATGTAGCGACCCGAAGCTCAAGACTTCTGAGCTTGAGAAACCACTCAATCCGCTTACATTCCAGAATCCCCTGTGGAAATCTCCATGTGCTCCACAGCATCCTGAGCATTCTCAACTTTCATGCAAACCTGCAGATTGCGAAAGTGTCATCGAAGAAGGATCGCCAGGTCTCGGTTTGGCCTCGTCTGTGCACTCCGGCGGAAGGCCTGGGGCGGGTGGAGGTTCTTGGAATGATCTCATGGTGCAGAAATGCGGAGATGCAGGCCTTGAAGGAGCACGCAGAAGTCGCACATGCTGGTGCTCTCTTTGTCGAAACTGACAGGGCACATGAAATCGCTTCACAGGAATGCACAGCTTGTTGACTCTGGTCCATTTATAACAGTCTTGGCCTTTTTTGATCAGAAAGCAGAACCCGAACAGAACACGATCGGTCTCATTTTCAACTGCATTCATTGAAGCCATTACAAGGCTTCTGCTGCCCGTCATGTTCACGAAGTACAGCAACAGCACTGCTTAAGAAATCACTGGTTTAATAAATTGAGCCCCTCGGACAGCCGCGCGACGAAAAAACAAATCGAAAAAATGCACAAATTGAAAATAAGAAATCCAGGGTACCCTGACCTCGGCGTGCCA